AATCTCGATTTGCATATTGTCAATCAAAGGTCCTGTTATTTGCTTACTCATGCAAATTAGGCAATTGGACATAAACATTGCCACGTGTGAGTGTTTTTTATTTTTAACCAGAAAATAAACAGCAATTTTAACGGTGTTCCAATAAGAAATTATTGGTCAAATTTTCACAGAATGTTCTTTATATAAAAATCTATATAAAAAACGAAAAAAACTATTTTTGATTGAAATTCACAAATAAACTGCATCTCTACCTTAAAAACCGAAAATGGATTTTAAAAATGAAAATGGATTTTAAAAATGAAAATGGAATTTGAAAACGGAAATGGATTTTTAAAATGAAAATGGAATATGAAAACAAAAATGGATTTTAAAAATAAAAAACAGATTATAAAACGAAAATGGATTTTAAGAAAGAATATGGAATTTTAAAACGAATGAAAAATGTAAACGGATTTCATAAATGAAAATGGATTTAAACAACTGGTTTTTAAAATAAAAACAGAACCCAGAAACGAAAGTGGGTTTAAAAATCGATTTCAGAACCGAAATGGTGTTTAAAAAAGGATTATAAAATATAAACGAGTTTTCAAAATGTAAATGAATTGTAAAAATGATTTTATAAAACGCCATGTTGTGAGCCACCTCGGTTGCCGTACTACAGGCTAGATGTCACACATAGTACTGCAAAGTCTGTATTAGAAACCATGACTTCTACTGAAACGCTACAATACAACAGAGGGGATGCAGCTTCTATTAGAGTATTTACACATACAAAATGATGAATTTTCGGTTCTTAATTATTCAAAAAAGAATGGGTGCAACTTCTAATAGAGATGCAACTTCTAATAGGGATTTCACGGTAGTACACAGGGCCATGGCACAAATTATACCTGTATGGTAATATAAATGTGTTCAAAAGGACAATATCAGTACACGTTATCTGTGGTGGACAGAAATGGGTTGTGATGATTGCCAATGAAGTCAATATGAACTAGTGATAAGTCTGTTAGAATAAATCAACCAAATACTTTTTTTTAAAAACTTTAACTTTTATTTCAAAAACAGGTGGGTTGTCAAGGAATAGTTATCTTTACTATATAACTTATGTATAAATACCAGGTATATATATATATATAATACAGTCGATATATATAATAGCTTATTGCACACAAATTATAACCACATTTGGCTTTGAATTTGAGTTTAAATAAGAGTATTAAAACATAGATGTACCATAATATATTATTAGGGGTAGGGGTAATTTTTTGGAGTGATTTTTCTTTTAAAAAGAATATTCCAATTCCACTCCCCCTAACCACTATATGAATAATGGCTCATCCTTACATAAAATGTTAATACTGAAAAGAACTGCACCAGAAAAAGGGTTTATAATAAACTTTAGCACCATGACCACTCAGCATGTAATGCTACCCTTACCAAAGTAACAAGTTTCTAAGACCAGCTATAAATAACAATTTCTGAATATTTCTTAAAAGATTGTTATTAGATTACTATCTTACAAAATTAATAGAAGACTTATAAGAAGAAACCGTACAGGAAATTGAAATCTAAGAAGATATTTAAAGTTTATCGGTGTTTCGGAACAACTACGCGACATATTTGACATTACCACAAAGTGGGAATTGCTAAGGAATTGTTATAGGTTTAAATTTCAATGTTTTTCAGCATGTTTGTACATCAACAATTGTTGTGCTCCCCTCCATTTGACTATATTGTTTTAGCATGGTGTTCTTTTAGCATGTGGATTGACCCATGTTCCAAATTACCACAGAACAAAGACTTAAAACATGCACATTCATACATCAAATGTATTCATAAAACTTATGTCCGAAAGTGGTGAGGTGGCCGAGTACAACATTGAGCTGTTTTGTAAAACAGAAAAATTGGGTAAATTATTCCAATATTATAAAACTTGGTTTTAAAACAAAATTAATGGTAAAAGTAAATTGATTGATCTGAGACGGTAAATGAAATTAGCTTTTCTTTGGATTTACATGGTAAAAAAAAGATTTACAGGATCTGATGCCCTCAGCAGTCAGCCAAGAAGATGTTTCACAGATTAATAATACATATTCAACTGCAATATTGTGAAAGTATTAATTACATAATAGACCAAAACTCCAATAAAAATATCAGAGAATTCATCCTCTTGTGTGCAACTTTAAAACAAATTTAAAAGTTACATGAACTCATGGAATGCTGCATATATACATGTACATAGGCAGACACTATAAGATATGGATTTGGAAATTCACATCGCTCAATAATCAATTCAACCTATCTTTCTAATTTTAAACTGTAGTAACTAACAAAAATATTCGTCATCTGTGATTCACATAGTGCATTCCCAAAAAATAAAATAAAATATAAAACCTGAGTATGTGTAAGTATTCAGAGCTCCAACTGTTTGTAAAAATAAACTGAATGTTTTTTACAACTAAAATGATTGGTGGTCGGCCATATTGATTAAAATTATAAAATGTAGGTGTTGATAAATCTTTTGGTTTACATGTGTACTGAGTCTATACTGAAACAAGCATGAACATCATAAAAAAACATGAAAAAAAGACATTTACATGGTTACCATACCAAGGTTAATCAAAATTGCCATGTTTATCTCTGAGAAACAGCTCTAAAGGCAATCAAAAATGGCCTCCAGTTGGCCATTTTTCTAGGATCATTATGTAACTTTTTATGTATAGTCTTGTGTAAGATTTCCCACTTTAGACTTGGTTCGATTGGAGACTAAAAACCACCAATCACAATGCTGTAACAGATAAATACTATCAGTATAGCATTCCACAATGATCAGTGGGGCCTTTGACCCATTTCCCTGCTACACAAACACTGAAAGTTTATAATTTAAACATTCAATACCAAAATGTAGTGATAGTACTTGTAATATTTGAATTATATTTTTGAATTGTGAACTATTACTTTTGAATTTATTTCGTGGAATCTATGTTCCATGTGAATCAAATTTGATATACAAGGACACCAGCTGGCTCTGATAATGTAACTAGAAAACTGTTGTAAGATATAAAGCTAAATAAAACATAATCAGGAAAAAATTACTTTCAAAGTTTCAAAGAATTTATGTCCATATTTGGATCAATTGGAAGCACTCATTTTATAAAACAAAATGACAGATGATTTCTACTGAATTGCTGAAGAAAAAATATTCAGATTTGAAGTAATGTCTATGTGCTATATGTGCAAGTTGTATATGGTATCTTGAGCTCGGTCTTTTTAATAAGACCACTATATTTAACGTCACCAGCTGAAAACCTTCACGAAAAGCTGAAATACATGGGAACAAACATGTTAATGCATTGACTGCTGATGCAGTTTTGTTCCCATTCATTTGGGCTATCAGTGAAAGATTTGTTAGGCAAACAGATTCAAAATGAAGTTCATTAATTCAAAAAGGGAAATAAAAGAAGCTCAGATGGTTTATGATAATCATCAATACTACATGTATACATTTGTAAGTATTGTGTTATATATTCATTATTAATCACTTAGTTTTAGTAAAGTGAATTGACGATAGCATCATCATTCTTCTCAGATTCCTAATTTGCAAATACATGTACGCGTATAAACTATGACATGTATATTTTATTATAATTCAATAGTACCATTGTACTGAGGTTCCCCAAAGGTCAATCAAGTCCCACGCCAATTGACGAGTTTCCAAGCTGCAGAGATTTGACTATACAGTGTGTTGGTTGGTTGAATGCGAATGGAGAGAGAGAGAAGAAAATGCAATGTTTCTTGTGAAAGCAGGAATCAAACAAATCGTACTACATTAATATCGTAATTTCATCTTTGAATTAATTAAAGTAGTTTTACTACATTGAAGACACGAATTAGGCAGGAGAATAAAAATAGGCCTGTTGCTCAACGGCTATTGTACAAAAGATTAGTGCTGTATATGCCACAACTTTTCGTTTCAATTTGTACTTTTAAATGAAATATCGCCAAACAAACACACAAAGTTGTCAATGGAATAATAAACACATGTATGCCTAACACCAAAGCATTGGAAATAGTGGTTAGTTGAATTCCATTTTTAACCAAAAATTACAAAAATATTTGCTGAACTGAAATCTGAACTGAAATCAGGTCGGGTCGCAACAGCAGTTTTATTTTCATTATTTTCGCCTTAAGTTTCTACCTTTCTACTGTTGATGGGTCCTGAAACTATTTCATCAATTATTTTGAGGGTGATGGTCCGAAATTGGTCGATTTCACGACGAAAACCGTGTGAAATGGAAAAACTATGATGCCTCGTGGCGTCACGATATCTTATTCAAGATGGCGGCAAACACTGGGACTTCGCTGTAGTTTTCCGAGGTTTTCGTCTTGAAATCGACCAATGCATTGTAAGAGAGAACTATTGTTGCATATAATGGAAAACTACTATCTCATAGGAAACTCACTAATTAATTTAAATGCAATTTTGTTGAGATATTAATATTAAGAATCATATGAATAAAAATATGAATGAAAATATATTATTATAATAACTTTTTTATTTCATGTCATCCAGCAAAATTTTGGTGGCATGAACCCATAGCATATTATCTTCAGATTAGCTTGAACCTGTTCAAGTTTCTGAGCTTAACGCATACGATATGAGAGTTTCATTTAAATAGAGCACTCAATCACATTCCCACTTTGCATAATCTGTAGAAGACCTGCCACTGAACTGTAAGTTATTTTTTGTACAGTTCATGGGAAATCTTATCAAACACTGTACGTAGTACTTAAATAGAATTTAGAAGACTACAACTTAGAAATTTGTTTTTATTTGGTGACTGGATACCTTGAATTTGTTTCTGTCAAGTGCAAAGCGTCAAGTGTCAAGTTTCAGTGAAGATTTGTTGTCATAACGATCAATTTTATCATTTCTCCTGGTGATTACAGTAATCAGTGGTAGGTGTTTTGCATTTAACATGCAGTGTGACAACATAAGCCCCCATTCTGTGATCTGCACTTCAAAAGCTAAAAAAATATGATCACAAAAATGTGATATTTATTAATGTGAAATATATTAATAAAAGTTCACCATATTTTAAACAATACTGATTCAGTCACATTTGTCGATATTTAAGTGAATGATTCCTTCTTCGTGTAATTGAAGTAAGACTTCGAACTCTGTCGAGAAATTATGAGCTGTGGAAGTGGAGAGATCCATCTGGTCGAAGTAATGATAATTCACAGGCTTTCCATCAGCAGTGGCAGTGAACGGCCAGAATCCATAGAGCAAGACTTGATCACATAGCTCAATGGCCAAGGACGTCAAGTAAAATCCTGTTAAAAAAATAAAAAACATGAATGTGAACCTCAGTGATGAGATGAGGTAAATATAAGCACGGAATTAAGATTTGATTTCTAATTTCTGTAATTTAAAAAAAAAAACATTCAATGTATTCCATCTTTGTCAGAGACTTTTTATAAATCTGCCTAGAAAATTCATCTATTAAATTCAGAATATAGCTCTGGAACAGCTATTGTTAATAAAGCAATTTAAGTGATATAGTGAGTGTCTGTGTAAAGTGTCTTGTACAAAACAAAGTTAATAATATTGTGATATTAACTATTTGTCATAGTGTTCCCACAATGTTCTTGCCATATATCACAACCATGGTAGTTTATTTAGTTGTTGCCATGGCAATTACTATTGTTATCTTGTTACAAATCCTATGAACCCTACATACCAAATATCAAAGCAATTGAGCGTGTAGTTTTCAAGAAGAAGTCGAAAATAACATTTTGTATTTGCTAAAAATTGAGTATTGAAAATATTGTCATGAAATAAACAAATTTGACATAGGTCCACCTGAGATACCTAAAAACCAAGTATCAGTGCAATTGAGTTGGTAGTTTTCAAGAAGAAGTCAAAAATAGAATTGTTGATGGACCCTGATGATGGACAATTATCTATATGAACAGAATATATGAACATACGTGTACATACCGAGTGTCAAAGCAATTGAGTTTTTGAGAAGAAGTCGAAAATGCAATCGTTGATGGACAAACAACGACGAACAATCACCTATATGAACAGCTCCACTCTGTCATACAGATGACAGTGGAGCTAAAAATGACTTAAGCTAGAGCAAAGAAATAATAAAAGGAAAATCCGAACAATTTAAGAGGGCACCAAAATAAAATTATTAGGTCATTGAGGCAACTGAACATAACTAATCAACATTTTTTTTTCGAATGGAAAAAAATTATGTACTTGATTTATTTTGTCAATGGTGTACCTTGGAATTTGAAGGTTAAAATTAATCTGATTGAATAATAAATAAAGATGGCTTTGTATAATATAGATCTTAATGCCAGACGATAACAAATCACTGCTATGCATATACATACATTATACATGCACGCTAAGGTTACTAGATTAATGTGGAATGTATTTTTAAATCACCGGTACGCCAAATGGGCAACCTGCAAAGTATAAGGGGGTCATTTTAAATGGCTACAAATAATAAAATGCATTCAGCAGCATTAAAAAATTGGCAGTACAAAAATGATATAAATGACTATATAAACACTCATTTTAACTGCATTAAAATATAAAAAGTCCAGTATTAGAAAGCCAATACACAATGTATTGGTCCACATAACAATAAAAAAATACATGACCTCCAACAGCATAAAATGCTGTGTTCATACACATGTACAAGTAAATGATATACAAATATTATCTAGAGTGTGTACATGTACTAACCTGTAGTCATTCGTTGTTCCATTCCCCTGGAGTTCCAAAACTTTCCCGTCTTTGCGAAATGTTCTGGATGCATAAAAACCACAGGTTTGTGATAGTTTCGTAATAAGTTTCTTATTCTTATATAAATATTTTCTAATCCTGGCAGAGAATGCACTGGAAGCCATGCAAGGTCATGGTCAGCAAGGTCACGTTTAAGTGTTTTTTGATCCCTTAAACAAAATAGAGGATACATATATAAATAAAAAGAAATTGACATGTTGACATTTAAAGGCATAAATGGGAGAAATGATTTTTCAGAGATATAATATAAAAACAAAGTACATGTAATTGTATTATATAATCACCGAGTTGTCAAGTTTAAGAAAAATATGAAGTTTGTACATAAACATTCTGACGGTACATAGTATATCGGAGATATGATTCGGGAAATAAATTCATTAAACAAATAGTTACTAGGCAGCCATTTTGAATCCGATCTGCAAAACAAAATGATGTGCGTCAAGATCTCTTAATATCTCTATGCAACCAAAATGAGGTTCTGGAACGGCAAAAATCCTTGCTTTTGATAAATCAACAAACATTTATACATGCGACATGAAGTGAGATGTATATATGAAGTTTGAACACGATTGGTCAGAGTATGGGAATAATGCTCTAGAATAGCATTCATTAAAACATAGCATAACTATTATAACATTGCCCGTTGTAAATTCAGATTAAATGACATATATATGGATGAATGGATGGATATAAACTTAACGATCAATCTTTTCTTCGCATGGCAAAAGTGAGTATAAAAGTCTTGAAACAATGCAATAATATGCATGTGGGAAGACAATTTCGATTGAAAGTATACAATAAGATCATCACAATTACGTAAAAAAAAATATATTTGTGTTCCTCAAATAATACTAAAATGTATGTACTGTATTTCTATAATACAGTACTAGCATGAATTATGTAAAAGTTCCTAATATATAATTGTACATCAACATAACTGGCATACAAATTTGGCAAGAAAATTACTCGTAAACATGTTAATACTACTTGCACTTTATTAATCTTAATGTCACTTATTACATACAGTACATACAAAGTATTTTTGAAAGGTAATTCCAACAGCTCAAGGTGGATTGAGGAAGCAAAAATGATTGTGTAAATTTGTTCAGTTTGAGCAGAGTTGGCTCCAGTTAACCTTGGGGTTGAACTCCAATAGGACTGAGTATCAACATGGCCCGTCCATGTAAACCCTGTGCCAAGGGCGCTATTCTATCTTGACCTTGATTTCAGACCATGCTTGGCCCCAACCCTATAAATGCACAATCACCTATTAATTGGGGGGAGGACCATAGAATGGAACGCAAGTCTCTACATGCTGTTCATTGACTTTGAAAAAGCCTTTGACAGTGTCGGGTGATCTGTGGAAACCAACTGACAGACGATCTCCCTGTGGAAACTGGTGTCAAGCAAGGCTGCATCCTGTCACCATTCCTGTTTATACTGGCAATGGATTGGCTAAGGAAGGCAACAACAGATTGACAGAGAACTGGAATCCAATAGAAGCTAACATCGACGCTAGAGGACCTTGACTTCACCGATGATGTGGGACTTCTCGCCTGCCAACACATTGACCAGCAGGAGAAGGCAAACAAGCTCACACAAATTGCAGGGACGAAACACATGAAGCTAAATCCAAAAAACACCCAGCCACTTACCACCAACAACCAACCAGAGGATGAGGTATCTGAGTTCATCTACTTGGGCAGCAAGATGTCTGCTGACGCTCAACAGATAAAGAGCTTTGAGACCTAGGCCTCACCTGGGCGACTGCAAGACAGAATGCAGCAGACTGGAACTCCTGGAGAACCCGAGCGACAGTTCCATGTGCCAGCCAGGGTGCTAAGAATCATAAGTAATTGGTGAGAGGGCAATAGTTCAGCTTAGAGAGAATACTACATATAAACCTAGCAACTGATTGTACAAACACAGAGCTAACAAAAATTTGCTCCATGATACAGATCATTGCATATGCATATTAGAGAAATGGGCGAAACAAAAAGTACCGTATTACCTATTACTCAATATGGGTGGTTTAGATAAGGATGTCGGGCAGACAAGGGGTTCAATCTACTATGTAACTATTAAAGACAGTCTCACAGATACATAATACTACTGCAAGTATGAATGACAATCTCGACTAGACTGTGGATATTATACTTTTTTTGACTTATCAGAACATGATGAAACTTGCTAATTTGTTTAAAATATTGAAACACCACAACATCAGAACATATATTGAAAAATTATATTTAATATAATGATAAAACCCATCAAATATAATTAGAACAAGCCATGCATGGCACAGTCCCCATTAGTTATCAAATTTAAGATATATAGTTTTGTTTATAGTAATATAGCTGGAATATAACCATGTCAGGAATATGATTTTTTTAACATTAAAATGATTGACATTTGTATTTGATCATCAAACAAGTACTTGTCCATATTGAGAGATATTGCTCTGGAACAGCATTCAAAATCAGCCATTTTGAATATATGTATATATATATATAACATGATGTATAACGAATATATAAAGTTTGAATATAATCAGTCAAAGCATTTAAGAGATACAGCTCTAGAACCCCAATCATTAAAGCAAAATGCTTGATATATTATGATTTTTTAGCACAAAAATGGCCACCATTTGGCCATTTTGAATAGGATAGTCGAACCAATATATCTGTCTATCTATGACATCATGTATAATGAATATTTAAAATTTTAATATAATCAGTGAAAGCAAGTCAGAGATATGGCACGAGAGCCACATTCATTAAAACAAAATGGCCGCCAGTCGGCCATTTTGAATCTTATCTGAAAAACAAAATTATTTGCATCAAGGTCCCATAACGTCTAATGTATATACCAAGTTTGAACAAAATCCATCTGTAAACAGCCGAGAAATGCTTGATTTTTAGGATTTTTTAGCACAAAAATGGACACCATTCGGCCATCTTGAATCAGATCATGAAACAAAATGATGTGCATATGTATAATATCATGTATGATGTATGTGTGAAGTTTGATTTTGATTGGTCCAGGCATTTCTAAGATACAGGTCCAGACGCACGCACAGACGCACGCACAGACGCACGCATGCACGGACGGACGCATGGACAGACGGACGGACGGACCAACGGAGGTCAAAACATAAGTCCCAGTTTTTGGACTGTGTCCGAACGGGGACTAATTAATATAATTGTAAAATAATGCATGTTCAATACTGAATTAAAAAGTAATTTGTCGTTTATTTGGAGTGGGTTACAGCAGGTACCGATCGTTTTCTGCGCAAGAACGCAACAATTTTCCTCAACATTTATTTTTTCATGACTTCTGAAAGTGGTGGTTTTAAGTCTGGCGAGCAAAAGTACCTCTTTTGTGGGTTCCTTTGTGAATGTAACCCTTTATACAATTACGTCCTTGACACTATTCTTTGGAGAAAATACTATACACCAGAAATTTAACAAAATGATCTACACAGCATTTCAAGGTCATCTGTGGATGGTATCTGGCAGGCGCTATCTGGTTTTCACTTGAGCGGTTTGTGTGTGGATCTGGTTGTGTAACTGGTGTATTTGCGAATGTGTTAGTGTTGCCTCAGTGTTCACATTGTTTGTCTGTCAAGTTACAGGTAGCATTCTGTTTTCGTTTTCGTGTTTTACCAATAAATCTGGCCTGCATTTTTGTTCCCTCCACTGGCAATCCAGTAACTATTTTTTTACTTATCACGCACTAAGGTTTTTTGTCTTCTTTGAATATCAATTTCACAAAAGTGGTGTTCTGTAAAATTAATTGAGACAAAATTATTATTCAGCAAAATCTGTTATGTCATGACAGAATTTAACAATGCATACTACACTAAATCAGATACGTCAAGAATCAGAATTACCGTACTTTAACATGGAAGGTATACCAAATACTCACCTCTACTGAATTCACAGAATGAAGACATCTTATAATCATGATGGAATTGCAAGAATGACAGGCTTGAGCCGAGACTTGCTGAAATATATATTCTGTTTCATTGCGGGAGCCAATCACATCACACAATTTCTTTTATAGCCTGGGATTTACATCACTCATAGTGATCGTAGATTTGAAATCAGTTCTGTGTTTCTGAGTGTGAATTATATCACTGCTGTGGACAGGGATGGCCAACAGATTGTTCTGCAGCAGGTTAAGCAACTCTCTTGACATCGGCAACTGACTTTTGATTTTACTAATCTGACTTTTCTTGGTCGAATACTGTATATACCAGTCAGACACTGACAAGTACGTCAACAGGCTCGGACATAATCAATCAACATGTGACTCGGGAATCACAGGTAGGCCCCAAAGAGGGAGTCAGAGAACACCGTATACAAGTACTGGATACGATATACTGCAAAGTGGAAATAACATACCTATTACAAAACCCTTGTTGATTTTTGTTTAAAAAGTCATATTTATAATTTACAAGTTCAAGAACAATTCAAAGAAAGCTTAGAAAGAACAGCCTCTATAGTTGAAAACAAGTTATTAAAAGACAAAAGGTCATTAAACAACAAACTGGAAGGTATACTTGAGCATACTAATAAACCTGTTCAGCGAAGATGCATCTAGTATATGTACATGTTTGTTCAATGTGGGCAAAGGACACACTAATTTTGGTATGAGTTTGCATATTGTAATAAATATATTGTGTTTCAATCAGTTTTGTATCACTATCAAAATTTCAATGTGTTAAAGTGCCTGTGAAATGGCTGCTATTTTCACGCCTAAAATTATCATTTGATACATAAATATTATTAACTTTTATGTTTCTAAGCATGAATTATTTTTTTAGGTTGTCTACGGCAACTTTATTTTTGTGTATTTTAAAACGAGGCTCCTCATTAGCTTCTCATTTGCATACAGAAATTCCCCTTGTGACGTCAGAAGGGGAAGTCGCATGGTAGCTTGCATTGCCGATACGTGTAAATAAGGCAAATTTCTTGTGCAGTTTTCTCGTCTTTGACTAAATTGTCACTTA